GGGAGGGTTTTGGGGAGGGTTGGGAGGGATTGGGGAAAAGGTTTTTATTGTAAAATTTTAAAAACTTTTAATAATAAAAAAAAACTAAACAGATCCAGATCTGCTTAGTTCTTGGACAGGGGATCTTTAGGAACTACCAGCTATAAGATAGGGAACTGCCAAGATATTCTGAAGAAGACAGTGGCAAACTACTTCTATATTGCTGCCAAGGAAAATACATAGATATTTACTGGTATGTCAGATGTTGAGATTAGCTCAAAAGATATCTGTGTGTTGCAGAAGCTGTTATGGGGAGGAACTGATAAGCAATCAAAATTCTAGGACAAGCAATAATATGTCTTTTTATTGCTGTTTTTCAAGAAACAACTAGCATGGGTGGACTCCTACTAAAAAATTGTACTGAATGTTTTGACATCTGTGGGGCATGTAAAGGACATCAATTTTGAATAGGAATAGGATTTTTTTCAAAATCATAGATTATCTTCAACAAAAACTTTTATCACTGAAGATATTCCTTCTCTGATTTCAAATTCTAGTCAGGGAGAATTAAAAGAACCAACTGGAAGGAATATAGAATAGCAAATTTATATATTATTTTTTGTAATATATATGCAATTAGAAGCACACTTTTTAAACAGTAAAAACAGAAATGTAAACATTACATCATTGGACACTGGTTAATCTTATGAGGAAATCTCCAATTTTCAATGAAATATTAATTCTGATTTAAATGGTAGAAAAATGGTAGTTTCTTTTGCAGCTACTGGTGGAGAGATTTATGTTTTAACTTTATGAAAATATCTATTACACTGTGAGAAAACGCAGCATACAAGCTAAAGTCATTTCTCCACATTGACTTATAACAACTTCATTGCATCACCTGGCTACCATTGATATGATAGAAAGCCTGTCTGCATTACTATTATTTTGGCACAACAATGATTGAATGACTCTAGAAGATGTTATAAGTCACTAGTAATAAAAATGAGCAAAGACCACTGGCCTAATGTAGCAGCAGAAAATATTAAAATATTAAGAAAAGAGCTATCTGTGGTCTTCAGTCAGTGTGAAAAGCAAATACAATTCCCTCCACACATTTCCTAGTGAGGCTGGATTGCAACAATTGGTCAAACCAAGAATTTATGTCCAATATCTCAGGTTTGTTTCAATCTACTCTGTTCCTTCATCCCTCAAACCTAGCATCTCCTAAGTAACCAAGAAACCTTATGCACAACACTAGAAATGATGCTGAAATAACATGGTAAATGGTGTGAATGCTGAAGTACATAAGAAACAAGTCAGCCTGATTTCATACTCAAAAGAAAAAGAATTGGAAAACTGTATACCAAAGACATTCCTGTCCATAGCCTCAAACCAAACTACAGGCAATTGACATAGTGGTTCATCCACTTCTGGTTAGTATATTTTGGGAATAAATTACTTATCCTATCACATATCCAGAGAAAGTTTTCTTCAATCTAGCCTCCATTACACTATATCCTATTAAAATTATCAGACATCTTTCTTGTTAATATTTCTAGAGCTTGGTGTTCCCCTTCACTTTACACCAATTAATTCCAAATGTAAATCCTTTTTGAAAAACAAACTAACCTTACCATACACAAAAGGGCTATCGGAAATGACAGCTAGAATTCTTCAACCCCTAGGGATAGCAATAACCCACAAACCCACAGCCACACTCTGCCGGGAATTAGCCAGAACCAAGGACAAGATACAGAAGGATGAAAGAAACAATGTAATGTACAAAATCAACTGTAACTATTGCAACCAATTCTATGTGGGATAAACATCACGTCAATTACAAACCAGGATCCACGAACAGCGGCTGGCAGTCAAATGCCACCATCCCAAATCCTTAATCTCTACTCACTGCGACACCAAACAGCACCAGTTTGATTGGAACAACACAAAAATCATCGGTCACACTACCACCCACCAAGGCCATGAGTTCATCAAAGCCTGGCACTCCACAAGCAATTCCATCAACAGATACATTGACCTACAACCAGCCTACAAGCCCCTCAGAATCCAAATCAACTGCACAGACAACCAGAGACAGCCGTGACCCTCAACCAACCCACACAAGCCCCCTCTCCCCCACCAGAAGTTCACCTCCCAATGATCCTGACCTCATGTAACCTCCCCATCACAAGACCCATCACAAGATTTACTGATGACTCACATCTGACCCATCACAAGACCCTTACTCAACACACCCACACCTGAAGCCCTTATAAACACTGACACTGACATCCTCTAAACTCCGCTGAAGATGTTACCTAGCCTGATAACGAAATGTTCTGAAACCAACCCACAAGCTTGGAGAATGAACCTTCACCCTCATCCTACACCAAGCTACAGATATTCTCCACCATTGCAAAACACAAACTAGTTATAAAAATCAGCCTTCTCCCCAGCCATTTGCTATAATGGTTAGCTGCAATTGGTATACTAATCAAAGTGCTAAAATTTTCTCTTCCACCAAAACTGCAAATATCTACCAGTGAAAGTTTTAAGCTAAAGCCCTTAAATTCTTGTCAGATTCCACAAAATGCAAGAAAGAAGATTCCCTAGCTTTATTTGGCAAGCTTCAAAGAAAATAGACACGAACAAATTAAATTGAACAACTACAAGTAATTGAAGGAATATACGGTCTATCTGAATCTGTATTGAGCTGCTGCCAAAAAGTGTTACAGTCTTTTATTAATTTGAAAAGAATTCTTGCAACATTGATAGAGCAATTTCTGACTTACAATTCCTATGGAATACAGGAGCTACTATTATAATTTAAGGGCTGTTACTCATGAATCGCATGGTAATGGTCATTTTCATTTCAAAAAGGTATGAAAAACCATAGATTTCCATTACTCAAAAGTATGGGAAATAGCAGTTTTATGGCAGTTCCTATTATTCTGATTCCCTTCCCCCCTCTCTTTCTACCAAACCACAGTTCTTTTTTTTTTTTTTTCTTATTCCACAGTACATTTTAACTTCTTCTCAGGTAAGTGTCTCTTTGTCATCTCAGTTACAGATGGAAAGAAAGAAGCTGAGAATCAATTTTAAAGACAGCATTTATAAGAAATGAAAAGAAAGATCCATGAAGATGAAATTCATAAGTACTACAAATAAATGGCACACAGCAAAGTGAATGCTTCTTCTGACAATATATAAAAAGTAAAAGGCATAGTGCTTCTAAGGAAAAAAAAATCACTTTATAAGCAGTTTATAGAGATATTTGTAATAATCTTATTTTTCCCCTTTTGTCTGGAATGCCTGGTCACTCAAACCAATTTTACATCTTTTTTTTCCTCTCTCTCTTACAGTAATTTTTTTTATAACACATAGTATTGCTAAATCTTGTTCTGCAGCATGTCAGTCTATATAGGACACTAATAGGTACCAATTTTTCTGTTGGTTTATATAGTAAATATTAACCTTCATTCTACTTGTATCGTAGTCCTAAAGTGTTCTCCTTGTCCTATTTCTAATTGGTAATTATAATATCAAATATCATAAATTATATTTTAAATTGCTTTAAATAGTTATTTAAACTATGCATTTTATTCATATAATAATTTTATTTAAGATTTCTATTTCTATTATTTCTATTTCATGCTGGTCAAAGACCATAACTGCATTTTGTTTTTATCAATTTACAGCAAAATATAAATAATTATATAACCACGGCAGTTCAAGCCTCTTATTGGACGTTAAATTGCACTGAATATTGGGATTGCTTAGATGCTCATATCATGAATTGAGTTATAATAACCTGGATATCCTCAAGCAGTTCAACTGATTTGAATTTAATGTCTGAAGATTAATCTTTAATCTGAAGTTAATGTCCAAACTGAGATCTTATATTTCTTTTGAGCCAGCTTTTCTTCTAAGTTATTCTCCAATCTGCTCTTGCCAAGAATGGAAACTTTTGTTCCAGTGCAAGATCTGCACAGACACCTTTCTGGTTTGGGCAAGGAACCACATTAGGTTCTTTGCTTTGATAGAGAACCACATTACCTCCATGGCACAAATCTCTTTACTGATGAGTTTCACATGGGCCTCAACATTACCATTTTTTTAAAAAAATGAAGTCTTGCCCAACAATACCACTTAGAATCAGAAGAAACTTACTTATGCTGAAATTAAAGTCATTGTAAGCTCCAGAGGAACGATTAAACCATATGCTAAGGCTAGCTTTTAAATGGTGCTAGAATAATACAACTAATGATATCCTATGTTCTGTATAAAGTATAAAACCACACAGAATCTATTTCAGTGCAACCCACTAGCATATCATTGAGTATGATTGTACCAGATGTAAAGTAGCAAATGCTTTAAGCACATGTTTAACTGGGAACCCAGTTAGTCTTTGGAATCCAATTAAGAGAATGAAGTTGGTGTTAATGAAGCAGAGTTGCTATATCAGTGAAATTTAACAAATGAACAAATATATACCTTTCTGCATGTTTCAGCCCAGAGCTAGCCCTGCATATATGCAACTTATAATGCCAAAACTATTTATTTCAATATTTTCCATGAGTACATAAAGGGACATCTCAGTCTTTAAAAACAAATTATTCAGAGAAACTTTCAGTAGGCTTTAAATCTCCCAAGGTATCCAATGAAGTCACACATGATTCTTCTATCATTTTTCAAGAGACTAGATTTGATTTCTCAAGCACACTATTCTTTTTATCAATGTAATAAGCAGCATCCTTGACATCTGTATGACAAAACTAAACAGGCCAGCAGATAGCACTTTTGCATGTTAAGAAGCAAATCTGTCACTTGGGAACTTCAGAATAAACCTTTCTCTGGATCATCTGCACTTTCTAAATAAAAAATTCAAGTGTGGGCAATATTATTAGTGCTGCCACGAAGACTGAACTTCATAATGAGACACTCTGCATGGTCTTTGTTTCAGCTAAGTATTTCTCACTAGATTATAATCAAGCTACTTTCAGGAACATATTATTTACCTTCACAATAGGCAGAGTCCCCTTGGACAGAGACATAACCACTTTTGCATTCACAAGTAGCCCGTGTGTTCCAGTTTCTGCACTCTGAATTTTCACCACATCGGTGTCCCTGTGCACAGAAATTATGACCTGAAAAATGAAATGCATTGCCTTTTGAATAAGTCGGTAAGGAATAAAAAGTTAACTGTTAAATTATCATTTATGCAATTCATTTATTCATATTAAGGCATCTGAAAATAAATATTACTGATTAATATACACATTTAATAGAGCACACAGACTTCCTTCCGCTGAGCATGCCATTTACTTACAATATATACTAAACTGATATGCCTTGCTATTCCTAGGTCCCTCAGTGATAAAAGGATCTCCTACCACTTTATTCTGGAATTCATCAAACCATTTTAATAACAAAATTATAACGTACCTCAACCTCATCCTGGCTACTTATTTGAGGGAATTCTAATTAGCTGCTACAAGTATATATTACTGAGTGTCTGATATACTTTATTGAGTCATGCCCACTTCTATTAACATACATTAACAGAACCCATTCAGGATGAACAGACATTAAAGGAAAGTTTAGAAAGCCAGGTTCTATGCATTAAGGGCTTTAGAGAAGATAACCAGCACCTTCAATTGCTCCCAGAAGCCCACCAGTAACCACTGTTAACATTATTGCCCATGCCACTATATTTTGAATCAACTGCAGTTTCTGAATGGTTTTCAATGCCAACTTCACTGCAGTAGTCCATGTATGAGGTGAGCAAAGGGCAGTTCCAAAAGATGAAACTGTGCAAAGGCCTTTCCAGCCACAGCTGTCAAGTGCTCCTCAAGCAGAAACTACAAGCCTGGGGGAGGGGGGGACCAATAGTGTACTATTCCAAAATGTAGACATGTAACCTCCTTCAAAATTAACAGAATAACAGAGTTGGAAGTGACTTTGAAGGTCTTCTAGTCCAACACTTTGCTCAGGCAGGAAACCTCATACCATTTCATAAAAATGGTTGTCCAATCTCTTCTTAAAAAACCTCCAGTGTTGGCATACTTACAACTTTTGGAGGTAAGATGTTCCACTGATTAATTGTTCTAACTGATAGGAAATTTGTCCTTAGTTCTAAGTTGCTTCTCTCGATTAGTTTCCATCCATTGCTTCTTGTCCTGTCTTCAGGTGCTTTGGAGACTAGAATTCTTTATGGCAATTCCTTAGATATTGGAACTAGAGATAGAAAGTCTCCAAACACCCAAAGCCATTTGGTCTTACTAGAGTCAAATTTGAATCCATTCTTCTTACTTATACACACACACATACACACACACACACCTGAATATTTTAGCATATTGGCAACATCTGACCCTAAATCATTGGATGAACCAAGTAGCAGACATCAACTCCATTAACAAAGCCAAAACTACTGCATGAACTACTACATGAACTTGCCTCAAGCACATAATATCATGCTTCCATCCCCTTGCCAACACTTCTTCAGGTACCTGTTCTCCTCTATTAACCACTAGGACATGGGTCTCAAACTCGCCATGTCACATGACTTGTTGCAATGTATTGTGACTTTTTTTGCATTGCCGGCAATGGGATGGGCGCAGTTTCAGTATGATGAAACCGGCCCCCAGGCCAGCAGTTTGACACCCCTGACCTAGGAGTTTAGGTCAAGTGAAACAACTGCTCCCTCCTGAATCCCAGTCTACTCTTTCCATTATTTACTCCCAGGACCATTTTAAAATTTAAGAATAATTCCCTTGACTAATTCAATTGTAGTTTGAGTGGCAATAAATAGGCAGCAATGATTATTACCCCTTCCCTTTGGGGCCCTGAAATGAAAAGTAAAGGAGTCAAAACAATTTGTTTCATGGATTTCAGAAAAAAAGTAATTTTATCTAGATTTTAATTTTCTCTTTTGATGTACAAGCTATCAAAACCGAAACATCATAGACATTTTATTAAAAATGCATTCAGTTTCTCACAATTATGCTTGTATGGCAAAAATGTTTTGCCTGATATGAGTTTTCACATTACAGAATTGCTGAAGAACAGATAAAACATTTACAACATGTTTTTTTTCCCCTTTTCCTCTCTGGCTTACCCCGTGCCATGGATATCAGTGATGGAGTAATTTAATAATGATTTTATAAATCCTAAAATACACTTAGAAATTTACAAATTGTGAATCTTATTGAAAAACCCTATATTCTAGGCTTTTGACCTCTTCAAAAATTACAGCTGAATCCTTCACACCTCAACCAAGGTTGTAGTGTAATTTTCCTATATTTGGCTTTACTTTGATGAGGGCATCCTTATATCTTTATTACAATTGCTTCCACTAGATTAAATTTTGCTTTAAGTTATTTGACTGTGCAATGACCCATTTATCATTTTAAGCTAATTATAACAGTAATCAAATTCCATGCTCCGGGGAATAGGTAGACAATCTTATTTCACATTGGTGAAGAATATTGTAACTGGTTATGTCCATGTCCTCCAAAGGAGTCACTCAAATTAGACATAGGTTAATATCCCCCCCAAAATTGGAAGAATTTAACAACTCACCTCTTCTTCCAAGCTATTCTGATTCCAATCTTATTTATCTAATTTTCCTATTTTTGTCAACTCAAGACAATGCTGAAAGCCCCCACTTCCTATTTGCCCCACAACAACCCTGTGAGGTGGGGTGGGGTGGGCTGGGCTGAGAGAGAGCAAGTGGCCCAAAATCACCCAACTGGCTTTCATGTCTCAAAAAGGACTAGAACTCAGAGTTTCCTGGTTTCTAGCTCAGCACTTTAGTCACTACACCAAACTGGTTCTCTCTGCACATTAAATCATGGATAGTCAGTAAGACTTATTTTCAATGAGACAAGGATTTTATTAGAATGGACATAACTTTTCTCACATATAACCCAATTGTTTGATGCCCTATCAAATTTCTTTTGGCCACCTCAGATAAAGAATCAGGCAAAAAAAGCCTATATGATAGTAGTAATATACTATATTCCAATATTTTATATCAGGGGTGTCAAACTCGCAACATCACATGACATTGCCATGCTGGCAATGGCGTGGGTGCGGTTTCGGCATGACCCAGTTTTATATGACTGCTATCACTCCAAACAAAACTGTTGAGCTATCAATTCTATTTATGGGAAGCATTCTGAATTATCAGATATCTTTTCTTATGATTTCATACCTGAAGATAACCAAGAAAAGATTTTCTGGAACTATAAATGTCAAGCTATAGTGTGTGAATAGGATGAGAAATTTAGTTTACTATACTACCTTGATGTGTAATGCATATTATTTCCATTGAAAATACTGAATAATAGAGGCCTTTTTGAATTTAACTTACTTTCTTGCTCACTTTACTTGTGTGCTGCCCTTTCAGAAAAGTTCCAAGCAGTCAACAATATATTATTTATTTATATTTATTTCACACATTTAAGAATTGGACAGGATAGTTCAAACAACTGGAATAGAATTCCAGTCAACTGGACTTAAATGTCATGAAAAGAACTTTTCCAACACAAACATAATCGTATGATGAAATGCCAATTTAATCCACCATCAAAACTGGTGTTATTCTGTATTAGAGAGATAACTCTATCTAGTTTATTTGTCAATTAGGGCAAGAAAAAAAATTCCATTAATTTTTATTTATTTTATTTTATTTACACTACCACAATCCAGAAAGATCCATGGCAATGCAAAAAGATTCATGGCAGCGCAGAATTAAAATCAACTAATACAATAAATCTATAAATAAATGTATCAAAACTAATAAATCACTACTTAACATAACGATTTATTATCCATTAATATCCTACTTTCAAACTGGCAAATATTCAAAACAACTAAAAAGAACTTTTTTAAAAAAAACAATTCAGTCTGTCATATTGCAAAGTTTGGGGGATATTTTGAAAACAAAGATCCAAAATGCCTATAATTATTGTAGATTATTTAATTCATCAAGCTAATTAAAATTCACACCATTAAGTATCCTAAAACTTCTTCAGTCAAATCATGTCTATAATGATTGGGAAAAGATTGTAATAATACCACACGTGTTTTGAATGCCAAATATCATATCAGTCTGACACCATTAAAAAAGGCTCTTATCTAAACTCCTAGAGAACATTTATCTGAATGACTCACTAACTACATTCACAATCACCCCAAATTACAGTAACTTTCAGCTCAGGCACCACACCTTTTTTTTTTCTTCATGTAATTGGGAAGAAAAGACCAGAATATTTGCTTTTGTTTAATGACTGTGTGAGGTATCATCTAAGCAACAAACTGTGATTAACACCACAGTTTTAAAAAGCCACAAATGTGGTGGCTTCAGGTGCTTCTTCACTGAAACTAAGCATAGCTAAACAACCAGTGGTAAACTGAGATTTAATTAAAAGAAGAAGCAAAGCCTTCTAAACTCTTCTCCCCACCCTTGTTGAATGGGAAACTACATAGTTCAGTTCCTACACCTCTTTTTAAATGATGACTTTACATCAGAATTGAACGTGATTATTATAAGACCTTCTGGCTGCTCTTAATTTCTAAAAATAAATATCTAAATTCCAAAGCTTAGAATTCCAAAGTCAAAATTCTGAAAATGCTTGTATAATTATATAATATGTGCAAAGTACTTAAGAAAATCATGCTGATATTACCCTTTCTGTCAAGGAAGTGTAACACAAGAACATTTAAGGGATTTATAAAAGGTCACTAGAACTGGGTTTTTTTCCTCCCTTTCCTAAAAACAGAAAAAGAAAAATCATCACAAGCCTATCTTTCCTTATTTATTTATTTATTTTATTGATTAGCCCTTGGGCCATATCAAAGTGCAAAGTTCCAGAAACAAATTATTACTAAAATTTGATAAAAGCAATTTAAAATGGAATTAGATAAAATACAATTTAAAATGAAATGGGAATAAAATAAAATGAAATTGGAATAAAATACGGTCTAAAATGAAATTGGAATAGAATACAATAATTTAAGATATAGATAAAATATGATAAAATTATATTTTGGTGTCACCTCTGCAATCTACCCCAATCATTCCCACATATGCAGATTTCAACTGGACCATTTTGCTTAAGTACTGTGCTGTATTAAATATTATTTTCAGATTCTGGCCACACATAAGGTAAGTTGTTTTGATATGGGGATCCCAATGGGTCATTCGTTTGGTATATAGACCGAGGTACCTGTCTCTCATCCTCTTATACAGGCAACAATCTAATAGGATGTGAGCCAGGTCTTCTATCTCTGGCGCACCACAAATGCAGAGACATTCATTGTAGGGTATGGAATGGAATCTCCCATATCTAACCATTGTATCGAACTGTTCGAATCTCGCTCGTGTAAATATCTCCTTAAGATGTTTTGGCAGTTGTAACTTCAAATAGCTGTCTATTTGAAAAGTACATTTGTATTTCCTCAGCCATTTCAAGTTACCCACCTTTCTAAGGATAGCTATGTCATTTTGTGTTTCTATATCCTTAATTCTTAGGGCAGCTTTTTTTTAAAATCGTTCTCCTGTTATGCAAGAGTCAGGAAGGCCGTAGCTTCTTACAAAATTTGTTAGTTTGGTGATCCAGAGATTTGTGATTGTGATTTTATTTGCTCAAGTAGACATAACTTGGGGATTCTATCAGTCTCCATTTCATTGACTTTATGCCAGTAGTTATATGCTCTAATTTTGGATAATGCATCAATTGTATGAATTCCCAATTCAGCTCTAACTGCTGAAGCAGATGTTCTTAGATCTATACCCAAAATACATCTCAAATACTGGGACTGTGTTTGTTCTAGAACTGTGGTTGAGTATAGACCCCAAATTTCTGCTCCATACAAGAGCATAGGGGTAACCTTAGCTTTATATACTTTAATTAATGGGGCTAGGGACCCTGGGTAACTATGATTCTTTAGTTTAAGCAGTAAATTCAAATGAGCTTTTGCTCTAAGTGTACTCCATTGATGATGGCAGGCCCAAGATCCAGTCTTGGAAAAAGTTATGGCTAAATATATATAAGAGGTCACTAGAACTGTTTTTTTTTTTTTCTCCCTTTCCTAAAAACAGAAAAAGAAAAAAAATCACAAGCCTATCTTTCCTAGTGTCTTCAGCACAAACATTTAGTTTACATATTTGCATGTCATTCTGACAAATACCTGATAGATAAGTACATGCACACTATGTGAATTCAAACAGCTGTTCCTGAAAAGAAAAATTGTGTCTGGAAGAATTCTTTGTAAGTAGGCAACCCTCATTTCTTGCAGCAGAGTGATTAAATTCATATTTTTCAGCATCTATCTAATATTTAATAAAAATTAAGTTGTAGAAATAATTGAGGTCTCACAACAGTTCACTAGGTTTTATATCTCCCACAGCAACTTGCTAGAATTTTATATCTACTGTATTCTGTAGAAACAGTCTAGTCTTAGGACTAAATTCAAAGAGGTGAGAACGCTGCTCTCTAATGTGTCTCCTAAAGCAGCCACTCAAATAAATTATAAATCTTTTTATGTAAGTAAATTATAAGGATTAATAGAAGACATTACTACCCTCTCATTGCAGGTTTCCATATAGATAGTAACCCAATCGTATTAAAATCTGTTCCAAAATAAGTCCCGTTTTAAAGATATTTCAGCTATAGGGGACCACAAATCTCAGTCATAACAATGAAAGTTATTTCTGAGCAGACTATAAAAGATCAATAGATATATGTTTAATTCTAAAACACCAAATAGTGTGACACAGAATGATGTGTTAAAACTTTTTCTTCCAGGAAAAAAATCATCACATTTATCACACACACATTATCACACATAGTCCAATCCCAAATTGTGGCAACAGTGAAAAATCACAAAACTTACTCTGGTTACCATGAAGAAATTATTGCATTATTCTACTTATTTATTTATTTTATTTATTTTTTAAGAACATTTAAATGGGTGCTCAACTCATTCTCGTTGGCTTACAGAGATAAACTATACTCTCAATTATTTTAGTTTTTAAAAATAGCAAAAGAGAATTAACTGTAACAATAATTACATATCAATCTGAATACTTAGAATTATTATATATCATTTTATATGCAAAAATGGAAAAAAATTACAAGTGAGGTGTTTGATAATTATGAATGTACTACTTTCAGACTAGGTTTGAAAAAATTCTATAAATCCTACTGAAATACCAGCCTTGTACCTGAGAGTCCTGAAATTATATCTACAGAATTCGAAATACAGCTATAATAGAGCACTAACTGAAATATATTTATATATGGCAATACTAAAAATAATGCACCTGGAAGAAATGCTGTTATTAAGGAGAAATAAACATTTATTTTTCACTGCCATATTTTATTCTATTAATTTCCTCAGAAAATTAAAAATTACTACCAAATTTTTAACGTAATATAAATACATTTCTTTTATTTGAGCCAATTGGTTTTTTTATGAATGTGGGGTTTAGATTTACTTTACAATCTCTAAATGGCTTGGCATCTGCGTGTTTTAAGGACTGCTTTCTTCCATATACCTTTCTTTACATGCTACAGATCCCACTGCTTTGTGATGCAACCATGATGAATAATTACTAATAATCAAGTTCCTCCTGCAGTTAGCATCCATCTGATAGAAATATATGTCCTGCTGATATTAGATAGGTGTCACGGTTTTATTTATTTTAGCATTTGGATAAACTTAGCTGTTAAAAATAAACAGATTTCTTGATGCATGACCTTAATAATGTTTCCTTGATGGCTCACGTTTTAATACATTTCATAATTTTGTGATTCTGCTGTTTTTAAAACCACACTGGGTGGAAAAATTATAACTTCAGGCTTCATTCATGGAACACAGCAGCATTTGAGGGACTGGGATTTTATTATGCCATCAAAAGACACGGGAATCATTTTTTGGCCCATATCTTATTTTAAAGAATTAGGGTAGAAATAGTAGCAGAGATCTTTTGGGAGGCAAATCATTGCCATAATCATCATAAAATGTACTTTATAGCTTAAAATTCTGAAATTCAGCTATGTTTTAACTTAATTTAAGTGGTGTGATGTGGGGAATGCTAGAAGTTGTGTATGCCTATAAGCTGAAACCCTATGTGGTTCTCCTATATGGTTTTCTTATTCCTGGTGGAATAATAATGTTATTTTCTGATTCTATGTCTAGGAAGCTCCATTTAGACAAATAAAATCTGTTCATAGAAACATCATAGAACCTATAAAATTCTTCCACTCTAAATTCAATAACCTACTCAAAAACTGCTTAAATTGTCAAAAAAAATCCATGCAGCATCTTACTTACCTTTACAAACACTGCAGCACTGATTCTCTGGGAGTACATAGTCTTTTTCTGAGCAATTCAATGGAGGACAGGTCTCTGTTATTTTTACTAAAATTCCATTCTGGAAATAAACAATAATTCATAATTAATAAAAATGAAAGTTACGGGGTCAACTCATAGTTCTGAAAATATAGCATGAATGGTCTTTACCAACAACATTATAAACTTTCAGATACACTTCATAAGCTAAACATATTTCACACAACACCATTTGTATTGCCAAAGTTAAAAATAGCATTATTCTTAAATTCAAGACTACACAGCTTATTATACTTTCGATATTCCATTTAACTATTTTCATGAATCAATTTTCCATTGATTATTTGTTGTTTATGATGCTATTGGTTTTTATTGTTATTATTTGTTTCATTTGTTACTAAAGTCACTTTAGACCTAAATTTGAGCTTCAATCTATGGTTTCATTTTAATCTATTGCAAAATTCAGAATCTAGAAATTTGGTATTCTTCAATCTATACACTTCATGCACACATTTTATTATATGAGTCACAAACAAATCATTAGCCTTTCTTTTTTTAAAAAAAAGTATTTTATTAATTTTCTATCATTACAATTCATTTGTGCTTAATGAACGTGTTGTCTAGGTTGATTTTTGCTTAGTCATAAAAATTAAGTTCTTACTCTCTGTATTGTTTTTCCAACCATTGATAGAATAAATTCCATGTTTGAAAGTATTCTGTATCTTCTTTTTCTTTAATTCTCAATGTGAGTCTATCCATTTCCACACAGTCCAGTATTTTCTTAATTATCGACAAATCATTAGCCTTTTACATTAGCCTTGTAGCCATCCTATTCGGAAGTGTATGTTAGGTCTTGTCAATTAAAGAAGACAGCCTGCAGGATCAAGGAAGCTTGCCTTCTTGTTCTGGCACCTATTCTCCAGAAAACCTTATCACCTGAGATCAGATTATCTCCAATACTGCTGGTCATCCAAAAAATGCTGAAGACCTGCCTATTTTCTCAGACACGGGAAATGAGTGAAGCCCAGATGGTTAATATTGTTTGGTGCTTGTCTGTATTCCAAGCTGTCATTTTTCTTGGATGTTGTGTTGTAAGTTTTATTAGTTCTAATATTGTTTTTACTTTGTAATGTTATTCATCACCCAGAGCTGCTTTGATAAGAAGGGTGACTACATAAATGTAAAAAAACCCAACCAACTAAATTTCTAAATTTTGCAATTATATTATTTGTAAAATTGGAATAGTCATATCAAATATGTAATAATAGTTGAGAAAATCAAAGTGGTTGGAGGCATCAGGCATGTTTAATTCAGTGAGGAGAAGATACAATAGCTATCTACAAATATGTGAAGAACTGCATGTAGAGATCAGGGTGGAATTGTTCAGAGCTGTTCTAGGAAAAATGTCCTTATGGCAAAAGCTGTTCAACAATGGAACAGATGGTCTTAGGACTGTCATTTGATGGAGAAGATGGACTCTGCTTGATTGGAAACATTTAAGCTATAATAGTGAATTGGAATATATGCTCTCCTTTCCTGGCTGTATATTCCATAATTAAGAGAAATTTAGAAAACAGTTGGAGAATATACAGGGAAATATAAATGATGAAGTTCGGGGCCAGACACATTTCAACCCAACTATTGAGCTTTTCTTATTTATGGAGCATTCATTAGTCTTTTCAGAGAAATTTAACCATTATGGTTAGTATTTATTTTATTATTTATATACTAGACAATGAATATATCATGAAATAATTTTTCATTACATTAATTTATATCTCACCAAGTTCCTATTGCTGCTTATTGCAAACTTAGTTTGACATAACTTATATCACATCCCTTAATGTTTTACTTGAACTAGATTTTAGGATTTTCTGGTTTATTTTTATTTTCAATATTTTAGACCACATGAGGTAAACCTATGTAAAATTTTCTCTCTGTAAATAGTTTTCCTTTTGTTATATGCTTTTTGTTTGTAAAATAAAAGGAATGTAATGTATCCTACTAGTCTTTCAGTTTGAAGTGTTTTCAGTTTTAAACTTTTAAAAATAACTTTGGCTTATTGTGCTAAAATAATGGAAAATACTTAGACATTTACAAAAAATATATTTTTTGTGCAGAGATATGGGTTGAATTCATAACCATAATGAACAGAATTACATGAATTATACTATTAGTGGCACAAATGCTTCATTATGAACAAGTTGATCACAATGAGAGGCAGACTCTGGTTTCCAAGAGGACTGTTTTTCTATTTGCCTGGTCATGTCTTCAAGGATTGTATAATAGACACATACAATATGCTATACATACTGTCGTGCAGAAGTTTTTTTTTTTCCTGGGCTTGTGTATCTGTCCTCCACACCTGCTGCATGTTCCATGGAAAGACCCATATTTTAAAGGAGATCAGAGTTGCAAAAATATGTAACATTCATGCTCTGAATTAATTTTTTTTAGAATACAGTCTGAAAGAACTGCTAACATTTAAGATCCCTGCATCACTGGAAAAAGGTTGCCTTTTTCATTTCAGCATTTAAAAAGTAGACATTGCATTTTGGGCAAAAGTATCATAGTGACATGGTTTTTTTGTCACTATATTGAAAATCAGAACAAATCTTTTTGAAACAACCATATGGAATGTCAGAAACCTTCACCAATCTGGAAAAAACTAATAATGTGTTAGAAGAAAATGTTGCCTTGAAAGTAGACATTGATGAGTACAGCATACACAAGGAGGAGAAATATATCATGATCTATTCCAGCTGTATTTCCAATACAAACAACACTGCCAATATCATAAAAAGGAACTTGGTATAAATAGTGATTGGTTTCTAGCCACTAAATCATAACCAAAATTGATGTCAAATTTTTCACTGTAGTAATATTATAGATTTGTAATCTGAATTTATTCTCTCAGTAGGAAATCATTCAAACCAAGAAGAGTTTTATGAAACAACACAAGAAGCGAAGTCTATGAACCTAATTATTATGGGATATCTAAATGTGAAAGTAGAGTAAAAAAAATATTTACTTGTAAGGTAAAAAATGGTGTAAGGCATAAGATAGTTCTTTGAGGAGCCTGAATCTTTCTATTATTTCAAAAGTTTCAACCTTTCCATACTTAGTTCCATGTTCCAGCAACTAGACAGAAGATTATGTGCTTGAAAAAAAAATAAAAGATGTAACAAGGAACCAAATAGACTGTGTTATGATAAAAGATAGACATGTCCTGATGTAGATATTTATTCCAATTACAGCCCTGTTATAATAAAACTCAGTATAAAAACAAGAATATTAGAAAAAATAGAATGTTTCAAAGAAACATTTTGAAATATGCAAAAATAAACATAAAAAAAACATTTAAATAATTTTACAATATTTTGAAAAAGATAATACAGACCAAACTGTTATTGTAGATTAGAAAAACAGTCAATGTTATTTACCAGGCAGTAAATGCACTTTAAAAATGCAGAAAGTAACTAACTAAAGGTAAAAAGCAAAACAAAGGAAGTTTAGATGACAGAAGACATTTTAGCAATGATGAGAATGAGGGAAAAGGGTAAAAAAAACTATTTGCCAAAAGACTCTAACACTCAACTTTTATTTCAATTCCTAAGAAGGCAAGAACTGAACACTGAATCCCATTAGTCAGACATGCAGCAAAAATGTTATTAAAAGTTAATTTCTTAAAAAACTCAGGATAGTTCAATAATGCAATAAGTGGGAGTTCAGAGCATATTTATGAAATGGTGGCACTAGGGACGACATTTTCAACTAGAAAACAAGAATCAAGAGATCATTTTTAAAAAAACAAAAAAAGCCTTTGATTCTATAAATCATAAAATGTTGATCAAAACTTTGGAGCAAATTGGGATGGATGACAAAGACATTAGAATTATAATGAATCTGTACTGGGAGTAAACTTCTTTTAAAACTAAAAGACATTTTTCAAAAGATTTTTCAGTCCAAAAAGGAATGCATCAAGAGTATATCCTATCACTGCTCCTTTTCAACATCTATACTGAGAAAATATTTGATGAACCAAACATTGCACCAGGACTGTCAATAGGTAGTATGAAAATTAAAAAAAAAATTATGAAGAGAATCCGAGGCTTCTAATTTATAAAACATTATAGTTTAATTTTTTAAAAAAATAAAGTGATGGTAATCTTGGAGAAAAAAGACTCTCTGAACACAGTGGTCAATGATGCCCTCTTATCAAAGTCAAGCATTCCATCTATCCTGGACACTTAGTAATGGAACATGGGAAAATTGATGAAGTAAAAAGAAATTACCAAACCAATTTTTTTTAGACATGAAGAATATTCTAACTTCAAGGGAAACAGACTAAAAATTCAGGATAAGAGTAGCCAAAATCTATGTCTAATGGAGATATATGGATCGTATATTTGGAATAGTTCTGGTTCCACAAGTTCCACACAGTTCCATACTTGCAATACTGCATCCAATTCTGGTTACCACATTTTTTAAAAGGTGTTGAGAAAGAATGAACAACAACAAAAAAAAGGATTAGAGGAAACATGATAGCAGTGTTCCAAAATTTGAGGGGCTCCTATAAATATGAAATGAAATAAACAATACACTCCAATGCTTTATTCATTTCCACTTAGAAATCAATAAAACCATTTGCTCTAATCCAGAATAGTATGGATTAATTCTATTACAGTCATTACAAATGGCATTGATTTCTGTCTGCATTGTCAGTGCAGAAATAGATAGCCCTTTAGGGCTGGTAGACGTTTCTGGAATACTGAGTGCCTTGTGCAAGTACTATCACACAGCAGTTGCCCAGGTGGTCACATGAACAAGTCGCATTGAGATCACAAGATCTTAAGAAGTTAGAAAATCTGACTGAACTTTTTTTTTTACCAGTAGTCCCACAAACACGTGGAGAAGGCTGAGAAGCGAATGGAGAAACACAATGCAGCTGAAAGGCAGGTTAGTAAAAAAACGCTTGAGGGAGGCAAGGGCATTTTGGCAGGGATGGTGGAGACCTTATCCTGTGCAGTGGTGGGAGGGTGGGGCCCTTTGTTTTTCCACAAAACCATTTTGTTTCCCTGC